AGAGAGAAGCACTGCAATTTAAATCTTTTTTCTACCAAAGGCAGAAACTGCAGTAAGTAGGGGGTGGGGAAAGACTAGGTTTCTGGTAAAAAATAATTTTACTTTTGACTTTTTCTCTTGCTTATGATCCAGAGTATATTCCCTCCACCTCCCTCCCCCCAAATGTTTGCTTTTAAAATTTAATCACTATGTATCCACAGATCATTCCCATTAGAACTGGGCTGTGACTAAGGTTAAGGAATAAGTTGTCTTGTAATATTCAGTCTAACTTGTTTATAGCAGGTTCTCTGTAAATGTATTTATTGAGCTAATGAGGGACTAAAACCACTTACCTCTTTTCTATAGCTGTAATTCTATTAAATATGGTAGAACATATCTTTAGGGAATATTTTAATATATGTCCATCTTTTTGAGAAAAAGCTCAGGAAGAAAATGTAGTTATTTTGATTCTTAGTTTTAGGGTTTTTTTTGGTCCTTGATGTACCATTTCCTTCTAGTGAATATTTGGGCCCTTGACTTACTTTCATCCTATTAAGAAATAATTACAATAACATTCAGGAATCACATTGGGCATGTATTTAACACACATGTGACTTTGCAATCTTACTCCTGTGAAAATGACACTGATGTGCAAGGACATGAGTGGCAGTCATTTTGAGGGTCCACAAGAGGAAAGGGCTAGTGACAGGCATCAGGTGGCCAAGCTCTTCTTAGTGACGCGTCAAAGATATGCCCAATCAGTCATGATTTAGTCCAGGAGCCAGCATTTCCTGAGTATTTACTGCTGGCCTCACCATCATGCCCTAGTTATTTTTACACATTTCTTTTAGTTCTCAAAACAAAAAAGAAACATGTGTGAAATTTATAAGGATTTCAACAACCACATAGAGCTCTGTTGGTCTAGTGGATAGAAAGTTAGGTTACCAAACCAAAGGTGGGTGATTTTAATCTGTGGCCCTCGAGCCTGGTTTTAATAATTTTGGGTCAAACTTTCTTCTAAGTGGTATAACACTGGTCTGTCCATTTGTTGTACAAGGTAAATCATGGTTGCTGTGATGCTAAACACTGTGACACTGATTTGTCAAATGTGATAATGGCTACCCATGGTGAACAGTGTATGGTAGAGCTCCCTGTAAAACAGGCTTGGAAGCAGAAGTGGAATCCACGTCTGAAATAGCTTGCCTCTGGAAACTCTATGAACTTGGAGAAATGGTGAACATTTCTTTCGTTCATAGGGTCACTATGACTCAACGGCACTTAACGACGACATTAAAATAGATTGGAATTAAACCTAGAAACAAGAAAAAGTATTTTGCAATTCTCTATTTTTTTCCTGTTTAACCTAGAAGCTTGAGATTGTTTTAAAAGATGTGGATACCCAACATATACAGATAAGCCTCTACTTTATTTCTTCCTTAAGAGTTTCTAAGTGGTTCTCAATCCCAAATGGGAATATGAGTTATTATAAATATTAAAACTTATATGTTAAGCTTTTAAATGTGATGTTTAAAAGTTCAGATGTAATTTTTTTCTATGCCAGATTTTTGCTGTATGTACTAATCTTAACACTAATCCTTATTTAAGATGATACTCCACTTTATTCAAAATAAGCAATATAATTTTAAAATATAAAACAAAATTTTAGAAATGGTATAAAGACTTCCAAGTGGTATTTTAATGAGTTACAGAAAGACCAAGAGAGTAATTCAAACCATTTTTACTTTTGAAAATTCATCATCTTGTTCTATTTGACCCAGTTGTCAACCTCAGGAAAAATCAGACAAAGCAGAATTTTTCAGGTTCAAAGTCTTTTTAATAAAATGCCTTTTTTTCTTTTGCAGTCCTCTAAAGCACAAAAGAAATCTCTCAGCCTGTCTCTATATTTTTCCACCAATAAGAAAAAACCCCAGATATTTACTCGAAAAAATCGAATTTTAAAAGCCCACCATTTCCACTCAAGATTTTGTACTGTTGCGTAACACTTTCTAAGTTTCTATAGACCTAAGCATTTCCAAATCTTTACAGGAGGAGATGACAATACCTTTCTCCCTTGGAACATGTATGTGGTCGCTTTGGGCCACCAATACTTTGACCAGAACCCAATGCTGTAACCACAATGCATTCTTTCAGAGTTAAGGGCAGAGACTGTGGAGTCAGATAAATTGCTTACAAGTCTCATCTGCCATTTTGCAGCAATATTCATTTTCTTAATCTCTTTAGAGACTATGTTCCTTCAAACACCTAATGCATAGTTCCTTGCTCCCTCCCAGAGCTATTCATGAAAATGGGCTTAGACCTCCACTAGTAGTATATTTTTAAACATGTGTTTAATAAAACATGAACCTGAAAGCCCTTGTCAGTTGCCATGGAGCTGCTTGGTGGCATTGTCAGGGGGGAGATGTGCTGCTAACCTAAAGGTGGCCCTTCACATCCACCATCTACTCCATGGGAGAAAGATGGATAGGTCTTCTTCTCCCATGGGATTTACAGCCTCTGAAAGTCTCTTGGAGGGCCAGGTGTAGGTTGGTTTTGACTCAACAGCAATGAGGAAATAACCACGAATGACAGAATGAAACACGACCTGGCCATGTGCCATCCTTCCAATCATGGTTGTCCTGGCGCCCATTGTTGCAGTCATGCTATTAATTCATCAATCATGCTGTCAGTTCATTTATTAAAGCCCTTCTTCTTTGAGACCCTCTGCTGTACCAACCAGGATGTCCCTCTACGAGAGTGACCTCATGTATAACATGCCCACTGTGAAGGGTGATGAAGTCTCCCTATCCTTACTTCCACAGAGTGTTCTAGCTGAACTTCTCTTAGGATAGATCTATTTGTTCTGGTGTTGTTGTTGTTGTTGTACCATTGAGTCAAAACTGACTCATTGCTGAGTGTCTGCTGGGTTTTCAGAGGCAGTTAATTGGGCCGGAGATTGCCCACCCTCCTGTGGAGCTGCTGGTGGATTCAAACCATCTGCCTTCAGGAATGCAGCGCAGCTTCTTACCGCCAGGCCACCAGAGCTCCCTATTCTGTAGTCCATGGTATATTTGCTACGCTTTACTAACACTACAATTCGAAGGCATCAGTTCTTCAGTCTTCTCATTTCATTTTCAAACTTCCACATGCTAATGAGATGATTGAAACTACATGGTCAGGGGCAGACACAGCTTTGTCTTTAAGGTGACACCCTTGCTTTTTGGCATTTTCAAATGGTCTTTTGTAGTAAATCTTCTCACTGGGCACTGTATCATTTAATTTCAACAGCTTCCACGGGCAACAAGTCAGTAACATTAAATCCTTAACAACTCCAGTTTTTTTCTGTTTATCATGACGTTTGTTTTCTTTGTGATGAGCGCACATACACACCAAAGGCTTTTGTTTATGATGGTCACTGGTAAATGCTTCAAGCCTTCTTTATTTTCAGTGAACAAGGCTGAAACTCACAGTGTAACTATGACCACTTTCTACCAGCCACTCAATGGTTTTGTTTTAAACATTCTAAGTAGATAGAAGTAGCAGGCTTTAGAGGCGTGAAGACACTGGTGGGAGAACAGAATATCAACATATAAATAATAGGATAATATTTTAGAACTTTGATTTATAGAAATTATTTTTTTTCCCAGTTACAACTCTGACATTAAAACTCTATCCTAAGATGGTGGCACCTGAAAGGGGATGAGTGTTTGCACGCGCCCCTGTAGCTGCAGCTTCTACATTTGGCTTGAGTAGTGTCCTCTCAGTCAGCTCAGCCTCGCTAGCCTGGCCTCACTCCGGTCTCAATGGAGCAGGACTCATGAAGCCATCTGCTCTCATTCCGCACAATCTGGAATCTACTTTCATCATCTTTCCACCCCTCAGTGGGCTCCTGTCAGGCGCTCAACTCAAAGACCCAGGAAGGCTAGACTTTAATCCCTGGTCTGATTAGATGACACTGTCAAGCTTACCACATTGTATCTGTTACCCAGATTGGTACGTGGCATCTTGTAATGCTGCCTTTTTCAAGAATTCCAAAAGACAATGTGGCCAGCACTCCGTTAACATTTAGTTCGGTTAATTCAGGTAGCTCATTCTCGGCTCTCCAGGCTAGAGTACAAAATGGGGCTACAAGGACACCCCCAAAATCCACGGAAGTCTCTCCTTTTTTTGCTCTTATTTTTGCAGCCCTCTTTTATTGCCTTTATATCATATACTTCCCCATCTTAATACCAGCAAAGTCTCAGTGGCCAAAGGGGGATCGCCCATGTCCTCTGCACAAATTCTATAAACTTAATAGCCCATGCTTGATCAGGGATCTGCTAATAAAGAGAGTCAATAAAGGAATTAATAATATTTCCTCTCAAGACAGCATCTTGGTTTGCAAAATGGTGTTTTTTTGCATAATATTTTGCTTATAAGCAGCAAAATATTACCTTGATCCTTCTCTGTGTATTATATAGGATCAAACTCTAATCTGCTCAGGATGGAGATAGAAGCTTTGGATGGAGAAGGACAAAGGGTTTAGTAGTTGAAAAGGCAAAGGAGAAACGGATATTAATAATTTCTGAATATTTCTCCATAGTTTTTCAGGTTCAAATTGTAGGTTTTTCTGAGAAAACCATTGAAGAGTATTATAGAGACATGGAGGTTATGCAAGACTGAAGATTTTTAACATATCCATTATTCATATACTACATAAATATACACTCTAAATAAACCCCTAAAACTAACCTGATTGCCCAGTTCTGAACAGTTAGAACTGTGTTATGGAGGTATAGTCTCAATATAAACTATTTGATAATTTTATATTGATATTTACCTTTGCTGAACTAAGCCATAGTTACTTGCCCTAAATGTAATTTAAAACTATATAACTTGTTTTCCAAGACAGAGACAGTTAGTTTTGGTTGTGAGCCAACTAATAAATTTAACAGCCTGGCTTAATCTCTAGTATTTTGTGCTCACATTGATGTAGATTTTTAAACTGAAAAAGCTGAAAATGAAAGTATGTGTTTTTTTGGCAGGCATTTGATGTACTTGGAAGAGTTGAAGCTTACCTTAAGCTCCTTAAATCAGAAGGTTTAAGTCTGCCTGTCTTGGCAGTGAGACATGAGGAATTACACAGAGAAATTAAAGACTGCACAGCCGATGCTTTGCACAATGGACAAGCCTTAATCAGCCAAGTAAATTCCTACAGGTGAGTAAAGTCTCTTTCTCTCTCAATATAACAAATTTTTGCAGAATCCCCAAACCAAACAAAGCCAAACCCAGAATGGATTCAGTTTTTTTGACTCATAGATGTCTGGTAAGGACGAAGTAGAAGTACCCCAGAGAACATTCAGCTTCAATTTTTTTATGAAAGCTGACTGTGTTGTCTTTCTCCTTCAGAACAGCTGTGGAATTTGAACCGCTGACCTTGAGATAATCAGCCAGGCACTTTGACCATAGCCCCACTAGAATTCCTTTACAGTTTTCATGGCTTCTTAAAAAATAAGTTTTGGGTTTGGTGAGTTTTTGGTTTTTGTTGTTTTTTTGTTTGTTTGTTTTTAATTCATTCCTGCTTCTGATGGTGTTTGTGTGGGTTGTGTGTGTGTGTGTGGTGTGTGTTGTTTTTTTTTAAATAAAATTTTTATTTTATACTGTTTGAGTGTTGGTGGCCCAGTGGCAAAAAGCTGAGCTGCAATCCCAAAGGTATATGGTTCAAATCCACCAGCTGCTCCACAGGAGAAGGATGGGCAATCTCCTCACATGCGATTAACTGCCTCTGAAAACCCACTGGAGGGTCAGCTATGGTCTGGTTCTGAATAGACTGTATACAACACACACACTGGTTTATTTACAAAGTTTGTCTATGGTGTTTTTACACTGTAGCTTTCCCATTTCCTTTCCTCACACCTCCCTCCACAAATCAATTTTAATGACTGGATGATTAACCTCCTTCCTACCCCCATCCATCCTCAACCCTCTGCTCCTACCCTCCTCCTCCTTGGATCCTCATACATGGTCTACAGTAACGGTCTTATACAGTACTTGTCCTTACAGGACTGAGTTAGTTCACTTAGCATAATGCTCTCCAGTCCCTCACAAATTAAGTAGTGATTTAAAAAAATCATTGCTTCTGAGTGCTGCTTAGGATTCCAACATGTGAATGTACCATAATCTCTCAATCCAGTCCATTGTGGTTTGACCTTTGTACTGATTCCATGTTCTTGCTATGTAAGGTGAATAATGCTGCAATGAACATTGGTGTACAAGTCTCTGTGCCTCAGTTCTCATTTTCTCAGGGTATACTCCAAGCAATGGAATAGCTGGGTCATACGGAATTTCTGTGTTCAGCTTTCCGAGGAATGCTTCTGATGATTTGCTGCAGTACAACATAGCTTAAAAGAAACTCCTGAATTTTGATCAATAGCTTTTCTGAACACAGAATTGTTTATCCAGAAGTGAATCATATTCTGAGTCCAAGGAAAGGAGTCCAAAGTCTCTCACTGTCAATTTCTGAGCAAGGAAGAATAAAGGGGCAAAACAGAAAATAGAGCTACACACTCCAAGGCATTTTTTTTTACTTCAACTATGCACTTCCCTCAAAGGAAACTGCTGTAGTTACTTTATTTCCAACATATGCTATAAAATCTTTAATTAGTAGACAGTTAACAAAAGTCTAGTGAAGAGGTTTAAAATCTGGAACACTTCACGAGTTTGCATGCCATCCTTGCACAGGAACCATGCTAAACTCTCTCTCACTGCAGTTTTAGTATATGTGCTGCCAAAGCAAGCACCCCAAATCTTTTCAGGTTCTAGCAACTCTAGTGTTTCTTTCTGCCTGTTGCTTTATGAATCTATTTTGACATTTTTTTCCTTCTTTAATGAAAGTCTCAGAACTTCATTTTTTTTCTCAAAAAGAAAGTTTATTGAACACAGTTTCTGGAATTGAACGTAAAATCCCCTTAAGATACTAGTATCCAAAATCAAGGAAGAAATTGTGCACAAGATCAGAACGCACCCAGTTTCCTAAAGGAAATAGTTTTCTAGCTCTGAACATTGAATGATATTTCTGATATTAGTTGGCCTAGAAGTAAGAAACCGCAGAGCAATCCCAAAGGCAAGGGCTTTGACTCCACCCCAGCTCCACAGGAGACGGATGGGCAATCTCTTCCCATGCCTTAGAAAACCCACCAGCCAGTCAGCTATGTGTCAGTTTCAACCCAATGGTACACAACAACACACAGTATCTATAAAATGAGGTAGAACAAAACGTGGCAGTTTCAAAGTAAATTCAAAAGTTATGAAGCTTCATACCTAGCTTCCAAACTGAAGGAAAAAGTAATTTAATAAAGTTGTTTTGTATAAAAAACAAGCAAATAAAAACATCGGATGATTTAACTTTCTTGTTTTCTCCATCAATCTGTAGTGGAGAATCAAGGAGTAAAAGATGATATAGACTTGTATTATCTTCCCACTATTCAAGTACTGGCTGTACCTGACTACCACATAATTTGGTTTTTGTTTTTTTGTGTTGTGTGTGTGTGTGTGTGTGTGTACTAAATTTCATTGAACAGGGTTTTTTAAATTTTTTTTTAAAATTAATCTCAATAAACGTTTACAGAGATTTTGGATTTCCATACATTCATTGTTGCATTTTTCTCCCTGCCCACCCTTCCCCCCAATTCACACTTCTCTTTGAAAAGTACAGAAAAAATATTTTATTGGTATAGAATCCTCCCACCCACTCCGAGTACACTCCACTAAGCAACCTTCATTCTGGGCTCTTGTCATAAGCGTAATACCCAGTCATATATCGCTTTCAGACAGTTCTGTCTCTCATCTGTTTCAATGCAGTATACATAATTTACCCAATTTTTCCTCAGTCTCACCCCAAACCTAATGTCAGTCCTGTTTTACAACAGTGGCACCATGCAGTATTTGTCCATTTGTGACTGAGGTATTTCACTCAGCATAATGTCCTCCAAGGTCACCCTTTTTGAATAATATTGCATGAGTTCCTTGTTTTTCAATGCAGCACAGTATTCCATTGTGTGAATATACCACAGCTTCTCTAACCATTCGTTTGTTGATGGGCACTTAGGTTGTTTCCAATTCTTTGCTAGTGTGAACAAACCAGCGATAAACATGGGTGTGCATATATCTGCCTGAGTGGCAGTTATGGTGGAACTTCATTTTATAGCTTTTATGTCACACTAAACAAACACCCCAAGTAAAAGGTGATATTAATTATATGAATTCACATGCATAGAGAACTTGTGATGTTAAGAGGTATAGGAGTATTATCACATCAGTCCTTAATCTTAAGGCACATAGTGTTCTCTTTTTACAAATAAAGTAATTGTGGCATATTGCTGTTTGTTGTTGTTATGTGCCACCAAGTCACTTGCGACTCATAGCAACCCTATGCACAACAGCCCTAAACCCTGCTCTATCCTGTGCCAATCGCACTGTCTCTGACACACCTACCTCTGTTACCCCAGTCACTTAATCAATCCATCTCATCGAGGGTCTTCCCCTCCTGTGCTGTCACTCCACCCTCCCAAGCATGATGTCCCTCTCCAAGGACTGGTCCCTCCTTGCAACAAGTCCATAGTATGTCAGATGAAGCTTCAGAATCCTTGCCTCCAAGGAGTAACCTAGATTAACCCTCTCCAGGATAAACCTGTTTGTTCTCCTAGCAGTCCACGGTGTATTCTATACTCTTCTCCAACACCACAGTTCAAAGGCATCAATGCTCCTTCTATCCTCCCTAGTTGTTGTCCAGCTCTCTGATGCATAGCAAGTGATTGCAAAGACCATGACCTGTATCAGGTGCACCTCAGTCTCTGGACATAGAGAGGTTGATCATTCCTACAAGGACACATAGCCAATTAATGGTAGTGAAAATTTGAATCCCAGTACACAGGTCCATGACCTTAGCTAGTGTGACAGGCGGGCCATTTTTAGAAACATGTACAGTAAGTTTATCAGCGTGAGTTTAACAATTGAGGGAGAATGAGGAGACAGGACCTTAAGAAACACAATTGGAATGCAATGAAAGACCTATTGAAGAGTAAGCTATGAACTGGTTCTGATTCCATGCACATGGCACCTGCTCTGTCCTGTCGGGAGCTCTGGAGGCCCAGGGGTAAGGAATTGTGCTGCCAATGCAAAGGTTTGTGGTTAGAACCCATTAGCTGCTCTGCACGAGAAGGATGGGCAATCTCCTCCCATGCGATTTGCTGCTTCTGAAAACCCTCTGTGTATAAAAGTCCAAAGAGGGAAGGGAAGAGTATGGTGGCAGAGGGTTGGGGGGTGGCAGAATTATTAGGATGGCAGAGTTTGGTGAGCAGAGGCATGCAGTAAAGGAATTTGGAAAGATCCAGTGAGGACCTGAAAAGATGGGGTGATAGTGGGATTAGATCAACAGTAACTAATTTTATAAAACAATATATGAGAATCATCATATCAAACACATTATAAATGAAGGAATGTATGAAACACAATGGACATGAATGAAACACAGTGTATACAAATTTTGTACACAAACCAATATAAAATTTAACAATTATTTTTTTAAAAAGTCATTTCTGTCTGTTGGAACCCACTCATAATAACTGAGCCTCCTGTGGGTTTTCAGAGGTTGTAAATCTCAGAAAGATAGGAGGAGATTGCTCATTTTTCTCCTGCAAAGCAACTGATGGGCTAGAGCCTTTCTTAGAACTTTAATACATAAGCATTACTATCAACCCCATTTTCACCACTGGGCCAATGGGAAGCACCACGATAGATGGAGAAGAGATTGAGGTTGTTGACAATTACAGCTTGCTTGGCTCCACAATCAGCACTCTTTGCACCAGCAGTCAGGAAATCAAAAGATTAGTTGTACTGGGAAAATCTGCTGTCAGGGACCTTTCCAGAGTGCTGAGAAACAATGATGTCCGTCCAGAGTCTAAGATATGCCTGATCCAGGCCATGGTCTTTGCAATTACTTGCTATCAATCAGAGAGCCTGACAATGACTAAAGATGACAGAAAAAGAAGAGATGCCTTCCAGTTGTGGTGCTGGAGAAAAGTCTTGAACATACCATGGACCACTAAGAAAACAAATAGGTCTGCATTGGACAGGGTGAAATAAAGTTTCTCATTGGAGGGTAGAATTTTGAGGGGCTCGTCCTTGGAGAAGGGTCATACTTGGAAGGGTGGAGGGACA